GGCTCACAAAAGGTAGGCAATTTTCCTTGGCAGCGCTTTGTAAACCTCGCTGGTATAAGCATTCAAGTCTTGTGTGAGATGGCCAAGGTCTGGTGTGGCCCTTAGCATCTGCCGTTATGGGGTTGCGTTATGTGAACCTAGGAGTGCACTTTGGGAAGCACGGAGCGCTGATCTTAACATCTAGGTCTTACTTATGTCAAAGAAGCAACGAAACACAAGCAGGAAAGCAAGGAAGCTGTGAGAAACAGCAGGGGAAAATAAACCAAGCAAGAAAGAATGCACAACAAGCAGCAAAAGCGGCAGTTTTGGGCTCACAAAGATGAGCAACAAGATGGATTGATAATACATTATTGTTTTTTGGACGCACGTGCCCAAAGGACCTATGTAGCACCAAAGGGACAGGGGACCAACCACGGGACCATGGGACCAGGGGACCAAAGGACCAGGGGAGCAAGAGACCAGGGCATCGTTGGACCAAGGGACCAGGGGACCGGCAGACCAAGGGACCAGGGGACAAACAATTCTGTTTGATGCATATTAGTATGTATGTTCTTTGATGCTTATCAGTTTTCTTGATGCGTCTTTTTTTTTCTTGATACCTATCCATCAAAGCAAGATCAAAGAGACTCACTACGCTACAAAAAAGACGAGAAGAAGGAGAAACAAAGAAAACAAACAAACAAACACACAAACAAACAAAAAACTGTAAAAACAGCAGGGAAAACAAACCAAGCAAGAAAAAAACACACGAAAAGCAGCAACAAAAGCAAGGAAAGAAAGAGGATTCACAAAGAAGCCATGAAAAGCAGCAAAACAAGCACACAAAAGCAGGAAAAGCAGAGAAGCAGTGAGAAGCCAGGGAAAGCAACACAAGCACAGAAAAGCAGGAAAAGCAAGAAAAGCAAAGAAGCAGTGAGAAGCAAGGAAAAGCAAGACAAGCACAGAAAAACAAGACAAATTCCAACAAATCCTCTAGTAACCCGGGGCATTTTGTGGGCTAACATGAATACTTAATAAGAGGAGGGCGAAAGTGCAACCCTGTTCATGAAAGATTTACATACACCACATGTAAATGAAACCGTATTACGTGGCACCGTTGTGCCAGGCACTGAGCAGGTGCCTAAAGCCAATGATTGTTGCTGGGCATCTTCGTTGAAGTCATCAAGATCATAGAAAAGCCTGTGCATGTCCGTGACCTCCGAGACATCCCAGCCAGTAATATCTCCATAGGTCTGTCGGTAACTGTGCCTTTGGCAAACAACATGTAAAAGGTACCTTTCTAAGGAACGATGGCAATTGAATATCAGCTGATGTGGCAATTCCAAAATACAATTAGTAACAAGTGCCTCGCTAGTAGTAACAAGATTAATGATATCGTATGATATCTCTGACATGCGCTTTGCCCGATTTGGACTAGCCAGCTGCCAGCTTGTTTGGATTTATTCTGTGGTACCCACTCAAAGCTTTTTATTCACTGCCCTTCCGTTCTAGCCTCCTTGCTTCATAAGACCAACCAAGGACAGCATGTCTGAGTTCGTCTCGACTGGAAGGCTCGCAACGCACTGTAACAAGGCAGCAGCAACAGTGTCCACAGCATGGCCGGGCTACTGCTGGATGCAGCACGCCCTCATGGAATTCTCCAAGCAAGCTCTGCCCCGAAGAGCCAAAAAGCTCTGCGACCGCTAGTCTTTCGTGGACAATTACAAGGAACCCGTGCAGTTGTCAACCCAAACCATTTCATGCAAACTGTTATCACATGAGCCACGGTCAAAATCAATTATTTATGCTAAGGATATTTTTTATCGTTATCGTTTTTGGGGGAGACCTTATCGGTTTTCAGCTTTTTGTTCAATCAGATGCTTTTGGCATTCGCATTTACATTGTGGATGCATGAAGCGGAGCTACCTACTCGCTGAAATCAGAAGCAATGGATGACGAGCTTGTTCACAGCTCGCTTGTCAGCGGCGGACAAAAGCATTGCAATTTCGAGTGGGTTTGCGAAATTTGGCGTACCTATCTCTATCTTAATCTTTATCGGCCTTCTGTTTGCTGGGATGTAAAATACTAACACGTAAGTTCTCAAGAAGAAAGGCTAGACCAATGTCTTCGATAGGGAATTTAGTTGTCTCGTCAGCAGGCTCTGGGCAAGTGGCTATGAAAGCTGAAAACATATCCAAACGGTTATCGGCGAGTTATCGGTTTCGTTATCGGCGTAGTGGCCACATAGAATCCGGATTTTTCAATGAAAGGCTGCAGATTAGAAAAAGAACAACACAGCAACAAAAATATTGATTCCATATCATATGGCTGAAGCCACTCACTAGGGTACTGTCAATGGGGCTTTCATTTGACATGCAACAGGTACCGCAAGGATCTGTCAAAAATGATAATAAATACCATCATACATAGGTTATCGGTTTTGGGGGGGGACCTTATCGGTTTCCAATACATCCTCACCCTAAGCCATTCACATCGACCTCTCCTGACTAAAGTAGTCTACACTTATTTTGACCCCACCTCACATGATAAATAATCAAAAGTAGAAAACATGAAATGAAAACATTTCTCGCTTGTCACTGGTTCCCGGCACCAACGCTACGCAACCTGACGTCTCAAGCTCAAACACACCTTATTCTCCGCTAAGCGCGGGTCCGTCTCTGCTCGAAATCTCTCACAAACCGATGGGTGATTGGCCACGAAACCTCGCGGGGTGGCTCCCGTGGGCCCCCAGAAGCGTTCAAAAATGCTGGACCACAGTTCCGCGCAGTTCGGCCACATCCAGCCGAGAAGAACCTCAGATCGGATCTGACTGCGTGACTGAGTCAGCGTGAGAAAAGAACTGGCTGACTGATGAATGTCTTTGTGTGTGTTTGACTGAGTCTGTAGAGGAAAAAAAGGAATGGACAACATCTATTTTTTCCAACCCCGAGCCCTTTTTGTTCAACCTCTGGCCCCAAATTTCGTGGCCCCAAACCTCTTTTCGGAATCTTCTGACCCTGTCAACGAACTTCAGGATCTGTCAAATGACACGATTGGACACGCTGCTAAGCAAGAGAGAATTTCAATGATTGTGTCGATTTTACCGGGAGCACACAATCATTGACATGGGCAAAGTTGTTTTAGTTGGATTTCGCTGGACTTTTCGTTGACCGCTTACAGCTGGAAGGGCTTACTCGCAGGGCGCACACACACACACATTATTCATCTTCTCAATCCCTTCACCCTAGTTTGTTCCGCCAGCTGCTTCCTCCCCCTTTCTAATCCGTGGCCAAGTTACTACCAATAATTGGGGTACACCACTGGGTACACCGCTTGTTGTCCTAAATCCTTCCTTATCTTCCTTGTCCCCTTGTTGTCTCCCGCGCCTCCTATTCGCAGCATCTGCTAGCCCAAGATGCCACGAGTTGTGTCCGAGCTGTATACAAATGCCACGAGAAGGCAAAAACGCCAACAACGCTTCAATCAACTCACAACAAAAGCCAGAAGCAGAGAGAGAGAGAGAGCCAACGAAACACCAGAAGCCCCTAAAAGCCTATCACCAAAAGCCATCAGAAGCCGTGAGAAGCCACCAATGCCAACAAACATTGTCGACAAAACGCGGGAAGCAACTGCAAACCGCCGGAAGCTACAGCTATAGCAGCTAAGGAAAGACGCAGCTAGCATCAAGTCTTCCTAAATGCAACCCCCGTTGGCTAGACTCTCACGCTAGTGGGCTTGTGCAACCCCCGCACTGGCAAGGTGTTCAATGGGGAAGTGCTCGATCACCTCTTTGCCGCGATCGGATCGATCATCTTTCGCAGAATGAGCATCGGCAGTTTTGACCCGTTAACGGCGATGGCAGGGCGGGGCGTTCAGAATGGCTCCGCATCGTGAGCTGGACAGGACAAGGTTGCGTCTGGTTTCAGCCTAGCATGATGGTAATTGGTAAAACCGGTTTATGCGGGCGTCGGAAAAAAGCAGGGATTGATTGGAGGTCGAGAAAAGGATCAGAGGTCAATTGAATGGGTCCCCATTCTGTATGTATCCGTATGTCCTATCGAAGAACTTTTCAGCCAAAGCGCTGCTAGTTGAACATGTAGTGTTCACAACGCCCCCCTGCTGGGTGGGATATTCAAGCACAGTGCGCTGGAAGTCTCATGTGACTCAAACTCATACATGTAGTAGGGCGCACAACTGGCCAACCCAAATAAAAGTAATACAACAACACCGCAATGCTTGACAAATCCATTGAGAACATTCAGAATTTGAAGCAGCACCATCGACCAAACTCAAACATTGCACAAAATAATTGGGCCAGAAACTGTCGCAAGCAAGGGGTGATCAGTACAAGGATCGGCCTGCCACGTCTAGTCCAAGCTCACTCAGAATTGGCAGCAGCGCGGATGGTCTCCAAGTCCTGCATGAGGCGCCAGTGTCCAGATCCCCGGACCCGGGAACCATCCCAGAAGGCCTTGGTTTCAGAGGAGCCAGACTTGTAGTAGAGCACGTCAATAGAGTACATGTCCTCATCCTTTCCACGGATGTACTGGTACATCATCAGTGGCGGCAAGCATGGCCACACCACGGTTCGGCAGAAGGTGCCCAACTTGATGACATTGCAGAAGGCCTGTGGGCTCGTCTGTGGTGAGATGATGAAGCGGTGGGCAATCACCGCCATCTCACCAATGCTGCTCGCCATGGCAATTGATCTGAATCGCTTTGCTTGTAGGCAGCAGGCGGTAGGATTGGCCAAGAATGGCTGCAGAATGTGCCACAACAGTTCGACTTCACTGACTCTGAATGGAAGCTGGAAACAAAGGCTCGCTCAAAGAGTAAAAACGATTCACGTTGTTCCTCCGATTGGCAGTGACTAACCCTTCCAGCTTAACCCTCCAAACACCTGACAAAGGCATGACGCCAACGGCAGCTCTCACTTTGAAGAGAATGAAATGGAAGCATCCGCCATATTTTTTCACAGCTACCTTGGTCTCACTTTCCTGATGGTCCAAAAAGTAACCTCCTCACTCAGAATTGGCAGCAGCGCGGATGGTCTCCAAGTCCTGCATGAGGCGCCAGTGTCCAGATCCCCGGACCCGGGAACCATCCCAGAAGGCCTTGGTTTCAGAGGAGCCAGACTTGTAGTAGAGCACGTCAATGGAGTACATGTCCTCATCCTTTCCACGGATGTACTGGTACATCATCAGTGGCGGCAAGCATGGCCACACCACGGTTCGGCAGAAGGTGCCCAACTTGATGACATTGCAGAAGGCCTGTGGGCTCGTCTGTGGTGAGATGATGAAGCGGTGCGCAATCACCGCCATCTCACCAATGCTGCTCGCCATGGCCACTAGCAGTCGGTTTTCTGCGCCGTTTTTGAGCCTTCAAACTTGTTTGGGAACCGGGAATGTCTGTTATGATGCACCCATCAACTGTGGCCCCACCAGTCGGAGATGTACGAGCGCGTCTGATGTCATGAAAGTCAAACGACTCAACCTCAACAGCAAGCAGCACATTCAGCCTTCCAAAACGCTGGCCATGAGATATTGTATATGTTGTAATTTTGTTATGTTGTTGCAGGATGTTGCACGATATGATGAAAAAGATTGCATGGTCACGCAAGCGCACAACGCGAGCAGTGGAGGGGAGTGGAGTGGGAAAAGTATGCACGGACTTGTGTTCCTGCGGTCGGGGGTTCTTTATGCACTCGCCAACGCACTTCCCAGTAACATAAACACAAAGCAAAAATGGCTCAGTCTGTTGATAGTGGCCTCTCCTCACTGGCCACTTCCATCTACACGTCTAGTCCAAGCTCACTCAGAATTGGCAGCAGCGCGGATGGTC